CTTGAGGACAATTGACCAAAAAGTTTATCAAGCTTCGACCTTTCCCGTCTGTCTAAAAATCAAACATAATAGTGCATTTACTCTTCTTCTAATGCGAACAAAAGGAATCCACAAACTTGTTTGTATCCTCGAGTACATCCTTTAACAAAGTGACACAAATGTTGTGATAACTAGCAGTCGACATGCCTACCAATGATAGGAATATAAAGTTAGTAATTACCTCTTCCATAACCTTTGAGAAATATATTCAAAATTTGAAATGGCAATTACTTCTTCCATACTCTCCAACTACATTTATAAACTTTTGAAAGTTCTCGTCGTGCACGTCATTGAAGGGCAACCCGACCGAATATGCCCAAACTGCAACTCTTTCCGAACGGCCATATTTAACTACTCCTTGATCGGGTTAGTTCTATCTAAAGTGGTTTGTTTTATCTTGCCATAGTCGGGCTTCAACATTGCATCAAGACGACCACGAACACCACTAGCGGCCTTTCGTTTCAAACTACGAGGTGGCTTGTCGGCTTGTGCTCTCCTTCCTTCAATAATTTTTGTTTCATCTTGTTCTTGACCCTCATCATCATCATACCATCACCATCATCTTCACCGGGTTCAATCACATATTATCGAAGAACTTCTACTCTTCTATTTCTTTTTTTTTTCTCTTTTTCTTATCCTTTTCTTTTATCGATTCAAGAACTCTTTTCTTGACGTCATTAGTCACATTAGAAAAATCACCACATTACCTCTTGTCTGAGTAAGATGTGATCCCTGCACTTACTTTTTGCCCGCACAAAGTACACCATCATTATTCTTTTTGGTTCGATCTTTCCATTACCCCATTCCCAACCATATCACCGTTGATGCATTTTGTGCCTGCATCTAATGAAGTAGTAGTAGCAGTAGCAGTAGCGGCAGCGGCGGCGGCAGCAGCAGAAGCAGATAAGATTGTCATTGTCTAAGCTAGCAGAAGATGAGAACATCTAAAACAGAAACAGAAGCGGAGCAGTAGAGGTCTGGTTCGTCTGAGGAGGCTGTCGATAATCCCACTTGGAAAAGAAAAACCTACGACTTCCTTAAATTCCAACTTGGGTTGATATTAGATCATTGTTATATTAATGGATTAAAGTTAAAACATAGGCCATAACTAAAAAGTCCAACTGCCCAAAACAAAGACTAAAAATAGAGCCCAAAAAATAACGCTATTGTAGAACGCAATTTGACCTTAAATATCGGTCAAAATTGTGGTAAATTGCACCGATAATTGTGTTACCGCTATTTACACCGCAATTTGGCCACCGGTATATTGCTTAGGGCTGATATCCGAGATTGCGCTGCTATTGCGCCACAATTAACAACATAGGGTATAAGATGTAAAATGAAAAAAGTAGTAAAATAAAATAAATGCAAATTTATCACGATATAAATTGTAATTTCAAAATTAAAATTGAAATACACTAATAATTTCAAGGATTGATGGTCATTTTATAAAATACAATAGATTAAGGATTCTTTGTTATATAACAACTTTTATAAAGGTAATTATTGTATTTTCGATGGTGATTTTTCTAACAACCGTTCTGGACGGAGGTTAGCCTAGGGACGGAAATAAAAATAAAATAAAAACCGGAGTGATTATAAATGTAATTTTAAACCATAAAGACGAAAATAGATACCATTGACAAACCACGGGGACGAAAATCTTAGATTACTCTAATCTATTTGGAACATATACAGATTTCACGACATCCGCTTTAGCAGAAAACTAATGCATATATTTTAACATTTTTAAATGAGACCCCTTATACAAATACCCCTTACACAAAAAGAAAAGTAACGACTAGAGTGGTAGAGTTAGAGTCGAAAAGTATAAAAATATGCAATAAAATACAAATAGAAGCAAATACTAGAAAAATATAACGATCCAGTCATATGATCGAAACAAATGATGAACATACAAGGAATCACAAGGAACTAATTTAATTGGTTGGTAGTATTGTACCAATTATCTAAAATTGATTGGTTTCGTGGAATTAAAAGTTGTGTACCACAGTAATACCTTATCGTACCAACTTATTTTTTAAATTATTATTTTTTAATTAAACTTTAATCAATGATACAACATATTTTGATTTTTAAAATTAATTATCTTATTTTCAATTTTATTAAATTATAATATAGACCAGTATGTTTTCGTGAGACCCGTGAGGCCATCTTTTTACACTTGAAACTTCACAGCAAAATGTTGTGAAGGTAACCTTCACAGTGTTTTTGCTGTGAAGGTTCGACTTTTTTAAACTTTCACAGTGTTTTTGCTGTGAAGTTTCAAGTGTAAAAATGTGATCTCACGGGTCTCACTAAAACAGTCTGGTCTCATGTGAACCCACCCTAGATGTATATACAGAACTTGATTGAATAAATATGCATAAAAACGGTACCTTGTACATCATGCTTGGTATGTTGTACTAGACTATTGGTGAATGTTTATATCGTACGAAGGTTATTTGAATACTTGTATATGTAGGGATAAATGGTACAACATAGATCAACATGTTGTTTGAATGTTCGACGTCTTAGTCATATAGATTTAGTTGGTAAATATGTCGATATAAATAAATTTTTAACTTCAAATTTGCGATGTTGGTTAAAAAAAAAAACTATACCAACATGTACCAACTGAAAAAATTTGGTATCAATTTAATTGGTAGCGGCTATAGCAACTATACTTAGGTTTATAGGACAAACCGTAAAGCGTCATATCTAAAAGTGTTACAGTCTATAGAAAGTTTTGAGGCGTTTTGAAAAGTTTTTTACGACACATTTAAAATAAAGTGTCCTATTAGCTATTTTATATGACACTTTTGAGAAATGTTCTATGAATCCATCTTTTTATATGATACTTTTCAAATAGTGTCGTATAAAATAGTTGATACGACACTTTATTTTTAAAAGCATTTTAATAAATTTGTTAAAAAGCTTAAAGTCCTATAAACTTATCGTAACACTTTTAGATATGACGTTTTTTGGTTTGGTCATATAAACTTGTCTTATAAAGTATTCTTTTAGGATGTTTTTTTCATTTTAAGCGTCCTATAAAATCAGTTTTGTTGTGGCGACACAAAAACAATAAAGTCGACGTCATGAAACATAGAAACGGTAATGAAAACTACGCAGCCCTTTATCTAACACGGTTATATGCTAATCTAACCAAAAAAAACCATTCCCAACCCTCGACCTCGTCAACACCTTTTTCTAAAAAACTGTCGGTTTCCGGTCCAGATTATGCACATCTTGACCAATTTCATGAATTAAAACTAATAGCAAAGAGAGCTCCAATACCCCAACTCGAACCGGTGACCACTAGGAAAGAAAACCAACTAGATGAGATAATTGACGCATGGAATGAGCCATAATCCATGTACAAACGCCAGTTATGGCCAATGATGATGTAAGACTGGTGCAACAAAACCATGTAGCCTATGGAGTATATGATATGAAGATACATTAGTGTTAAAAACAAACAGACAACAAGAGCATCTCAGAAATTAAATACGCAACTTGTCTGATTTTAATAAGTTTTTGAAAGTTTTGTGCATGTCTTGTTCTGCCACACAGGCATGGTACATATGGTTGTGTCAAGCAATGAAACACCAATCAAAATGAAACTTACGACATCATTCTGGACTTCTTAGGTGTCGTCTTCTCTCGTAGAAACCGGACTACGAACACTACTAAACGGAGGATCTTTTTCGGAGGAAAAATTCATCAGAAAAAATTTGTCGTAAAAATCCGTTGGAAAACGTGTTTACCAATGAATTTCCTGGACGGAGAAAACGTCGCTGGAAATGATATTTACCGGTGGATTTCCATTTTCACACGTATAATGGCCGCCAGTAGTAATCAGCCACTCCATTTTTTTTAATTATCAATTTACTTGACGTAATTACGTTCCTTAATAATTACGATTAGTCTTCCGGAGGATTATTCATAGGTTAAAAATCACCTATGGATTGAGGCGTCGGAAATCCACCGGAAAAACACCCTGTTCTAGAAATCTAATATTTATGTTTTTATTATAAATTTGTAAATCCCGTAAATATTCAAAAATTGCGAAAAACGTAAAATCAAATATCATACATTATTAAAGTCCAATAATGATTGTTCAGGCGGAATAATAGAAATTATTCTAACGAAACATAAATTGTTCAGTTCATTGCGATACAAATAAGACCAACAAAACATAACTCTGATGGCGGTAGTGACGGGTATGCCCGGATCACTGATTTTCACTAATTCACTAAGTTGCCTGACCAACTGTATCATTTCCTCATACTTCTTATTCTCGATTTCCTCAGTAATATAAAATTTTCCAAAAAAAATAAAAAAATTGTGTCCGCCGGTAATACAAAAAATTAATTTTAAGAAAAGTTTTAAAAAATAATTAATTAAATTACCGGCGGATTTTAATAAAAAATAATTACTTTTAAAATATATATAAATAAATAAATGTACCCACCGGTAAACCGCCAGAAAATTCACCGGAAGAAGTAGTTCTTTATAAAATAATCAATGGCGGATTAGTGACGGAAGTTAACGAAAGTTGAGTTTTTTTATTTCCGTCAAGCAGAAAATCCATCAGAAAGTTGAGTTTAAACCACCCGCTAGTTTACGAAACATAGCCTTAGTAGGAAAATGAAAATGAGAACGAAAAACAAGGGAGATAAGGATGTTGTTGTTACAGTTTAAACAGATCCAACAAAACTTGATCTGAGACAAAGTCAAAAGAAAAATAATACATACTTTTATTTATTATAATGATTAAAAGCCGGCAAAGTCTAGCAAGAACTAAACAGTGAATAAGAACTATACTTGATCCTACATAATACTGGCTTATTTCACTAATCTTAAGCAGCATAGTAATAGCTATATATAGAGCTTTGTTTACAATCCTACTATCTCCTAGTCTTTTTAATAGCTAATACTCAAACTTTTAGGTAGATATGGAGATAGAGAAGTCAAAAAGTATCGGAAAGCGAAGTAGAAGCCATAGTTGGAGCTTCGAAGAAGTGTTTGTTACTGCAAATCATAGTAGAAGCAACAGTCATGCTGAACAAGACGAAGAAGCTCTGAAATGGGCAGCTTTAGAGAAACTACCCACGTTTGATCGTTTACGAACCACTATTATGGAATCTTATTTTCTAGATGACAGTGAAAACCAACAAACTGAAGGCGAAGAGAAGGCACGACACAAACAGGTTGATCTCAGAAGCTTTGGCATGAAAGAGAACCAATGCTTCATCAACAAACTGTTTAATGTTGCTGAGGAAGATAATGGCAAGTTCTTGAAAAAGATCAGAGACCGATATGATAAGTTCGTTCTTAACAATTCTTTCTAATGCTGATTTTTTTTTAGTTACATGCACTGAATGCATAACTTAAATACATCAATACGAAAAAGATATAAACTTCAAGAATCTGCAGCCTAACATGAATACTATTTTTTATGCACTCAGTGATGTTGATATCCCTTCTAATTGCAATGTTTTGCGTTGGGAGAATTTTGGTAAGCATAAATTAACTAGTTCCCTAAGTCATCATTCCAAGTCTTGTTGATTAACTGCTTTGGTCTACAAGATTTATCAGACACCACTTCTCTATTTTTGCATGATTGAAATGTTCTTCAAGCATTTGACAGATGGTCAACTGATGCACTTTCACCCACTAGAATATCATATTGGGTGTCCTCTTTCACTTTGACAACCAACCAAATAAACAAACGGAATTTGGTCAAAGGAATGTGTCATTCCAATTTCACCGCATTGATGCTAGGAATGTCCAATTATATAGCAGCCATAATCTATGGCAAAAACAAATTTTAGTGCAACACTGATGTAAACTGGGAAAGTCGAAAGATTGAATCCAAAGGAAACCGAATTCTTCTCACTAATCGAATGCTTACAAGGGATTTTCTAGCTTTTGAGAGGCCATAATCTCTCCACGGGACTCGCACCAAAAAAAGGTGTTTACAAAACAGAATACTCCTCCTAAACCCTCATGCCTCTTATTTATACTAAAACCCTGGGAAATAACTACTTGTACATCCATCACTTGAGTATAACAATACTCGCCCCCCAAACTTCCACCTTGTCCTCAAGGTGGAAAGATAAAGAAGGCAAATAGATTAAGCCACAATAAGCCTTCTCTCCAATAAGCTTCAATAGCAAGTAAATTTTTCAAAACCAATAACTCCATCCACTGGTCTGTTGCTGTGAATTTTGGATAACAATTATGTCAGATGGATGTCAAAAATGATTTTTTGCATGGAGACCTAGAAGAAGATGTGTACATGAAACTTCTATCTGGGCATCCTCAAGAAAAGCACACACAAAGATCTATTCATTGCCGTTCTCAAGCTACATGTTTTTGGTTATGTGTTGCCCGAATGGGAACGGATGAAGCGGGGTGGAGGAATGGTCAACTCATCAGGCCCAGTATTGCTTTGGCTGAGCCCTATCTTGCTGGCGCAGAAGCTACCGCATTCGACCCCACAAAGCCTAGCTGCACCGCCATTGTGCTATTAGCCCTATGCCTAGAAAGCCTGTGGGAGGCTGCTACCTATCAGGCCATACTCAGGGTGGGAAAGAAAAGCGACTTCTATCTCTTCTCAGTTCTCTAGGGAAGGTAGGGTAAGGCACATCACGACCTACAGGCAACACCGGCTACACCTAGGGATAATAGAAGTAGTGCTCTACCTGTGTCTTATCGTCGTACTATCCTTTCCTATTTGATCCCTATGAATTCCATATTCGAAGTATCATTTGATGATGCCATGTGAATAACTCTCTGTGGTTTGCAAACTATACAAAAGCTATTTATGGACTTAAGCAATCCTCAAGATCTTGGTATTCAAAGTTGAGTTCAGTTCTAGTCTCATCTGGATTCAAATGCAGTAATGCAGATTCATCTTTTTCGTTATAACGAGAAGAAATGAACTGTTTGTTCTTGTGTATGTGGATGACTTGATCATCATCGGTGATGACGTTACCAAGATACAATCTCTGAAGATAGCCCTTCATCAAATCTTTGCAATTAAGAATTTAGGAATGCTTAGATTTTTCATGGAATTGAGATGGATCACAATTAAGATACCCTATGGATCTCCTAGATGAAGTAGGAATGATGAGCAAGAAAGTCTCGTCTCCTCTTGACAGTAAGCTCAGATTAGATGTTGAATCTTCTCTCCATCAACATCTTGTAGGTAAACTCATATACCTCATATCTTGACCTGATATCACTTTTGCTGTCAGTTTTGGTCAGTCAGTTTATGCATTCACCAACAAATCATCATCTTCACATTGTGAAAAGACATCTTCATTGTCTCAAGGGACTGTTGGTCGAGGCATTCTCATGAAGAAGCGTGGAAGGATATTGTGATTCACATTGGGCAGGCAAGCATCTAAAATAAAAAATCTACAACAGGTTGCTGCACGTTAATAGGTGGAAACCTGGTTACATGGAAAACTAAAAAGCAAACTGTTGCTGTAAAATCAAGTGCCTGAGCTGAATACAGGGCCTTGGCCTCTTGTGAATTGATGTGGCTGAAGGCTTTATTAAAGGAACTTAGTATCAAAAGCAATGTTCTCATCACTCTTCATATTATTACAATCAAGTTGCCATGCATATTGCAACATTGTTTCATGAAAGGACAAGAAATATTGAGTGGACTGTCATTTTGTCCGAGATCAGGTCCAATCTAAGGTCACTAAGACTGCCTTTCCAAGGTCCAATAACCAACTTACAGATTTATTTACTAAATCTCTTTGCTTCCACTCAATTCGAAAGAATTCTATCCAAGCTTGGATCCACTAACTCCCTTGATCCAGATTTAGGGGGAGTGTTAAGAAAATCATAATGCTACAGTGTGGTTTTTGCTCACCTTACTGCTACTGTAACAGTCTGGTGAAATCTTCCAGATCTGATTTCTTCCAACTGCTCACCTTTCTGCTTCTTCCTTACTCTACTTCTGGCTACTGTTGCTGATTTAAAGGACAAGGAGATGGCTCCTTGTATTTTTGTAGTTGGTTTAAAATCCCATTGTAATCTTTTTGTAATTATTAGTTGTTTTTCCCTCTTTAGTTTGTGTCTTAAAGAGCCTTGGTTTGTTCCAGTTGAATGTAAGACATATTATTCATCTTCATAAACTTCTTCAATTATAAATGATAAAAGTAAAACCTAGTGTTCAAT